CTGCAAAAATATTTTCTCTGTCAAACATCTGCGGTAGGAATGTGGGGACAGGGGGAGCAGACTTCCTGAGCACGGCGCGGGACGGCTGCAGTCAGGCCGCTGCCCCCCCCCCCCCCCCCCCCAACCCCGTGTCAAAGTAGAAGGCGCACATATCACCGCGTGCTGCCCTCCCGCGCCCCGCTGTTCTGCCCCCACCCTCCTGGTCTTGACGTGACTTGTCCCGATCGCCCCACTGCACTCGCCAGGTGGACGGAGCCATGCAAATATTTTTCTGTCGATGGTGGTTCAAAGGCTGGCGACGGGAAAGAGGCCGATGGGCGTCTGTTTTCAGCAGATGGTGCCACAGCCTCTCAGTTTTCCTTGATGAGCCCGTGCAGCTCAGTCCAGGTTATGGTGCGGATATTACAGACAGCAGCGTAAATTAACTTCATTGCATCATGTGGATGCGTGTGCCCGGCTGAGCGAAAGTCATGCTCACCTGACATCCACCTGTCAGTGGTCCAGCTGCCCCACCCGAATTGGCTTGTGGGGGCCAGGGCTTGAAACAAGGGGTTCCGGAGAGCCCCCGCATGGACGCAGGTGCTGCCGTTCTGCCTCCTGCCCCTTCGTAGGGCCCCTGGACTGCAGGAAGGGCAACCCCAAGGTCGTCTGGTGGCAGATGGGCAGGGCTTCGGAGAATCCCCCTCAGTCGGTCCTCCTCGGGCGGGTGCTGGCCACCTTCCCGTTAGCCGGGTGTGCTACTGTTGGCTCACGCGTAGCGCCCCCCACTGTTTGTGTTGGGGGGTATAGCCTCAAGAGCTAGAGGGGCTACTTCACAGGCTCTGACACTGTCAGTGGCTCCACCGGTCGGCCATTCTACAGCGAAAACAAGAGAAGATATATATTCCGTCCTCGGCACATTAATAATGCTGGGAAGAAAACTGAACGCGGTTCCAGTTCTGGAATTTGCCGTTTGTTTCCATGTTCATCTAGGCTTCCTTCAGGTACTCTGGGGGTTTGGTGTATGTGGGAGTCCCCTGAATCGGCCCCTCAGAGTGCACTCAGCCGTATACCAGTGCCTGACTTTACACCTGCTTACGTTCTCCAGGTTCCCACACATGTCTGTCACACCAGCAAAGCCTGATTTATTTACTGAGTGCGTCCTAGAAATGTCAAGGAACATGCTTTATAAATTATACAAACATTTACAATATTTGCTTTGCAATTTTTTTCGTAGCTCGGAGTTGATTTAGAAAATACATTCGCTTCATTTGGCTCAGTGAGTGTTTGGCGTTTCAAATGAGTTAAAGTGGGTAATATCATCACATTGTAACTTGGCCCTATGACAGATGTTAAATGCATGTTTCTACCATTGTATTAAATATGTATCTGATTATGACATAAATCATGAAAAATAAACAAAATAATTAAAACAGGGCTTGTTTGATGGCACTGTACATCCAATGGTGTGTAAACATTTTTAATCCTTAAAAGCATAATCAAATTATTTTACCAAATTTTGCAGTACAATGCTTACGGACTTTCAAATTCTTGTGAATAATTAGATCTTGAAAAACATCTATAACCCTGATTGTTCTCTTTCTTATTTTCCTCTGTTTTTTCTGTGCACTGTTGATTTGTTTACTCCTTTCTCTTTTTCTTCAAAACCAGCGCAATCAAGTGNTTTACTCCTTTCTCTTTTTCTTCAAAACCAGCGCAATCAAGTGCCCCCCCCCCCCCCCCCCCCATGCCCCGCCGCTGAAAAGCTGCAGATTAGTGGCCATAGTATGTTTATGAGATATGCTTCCCCTGTTTGATGATGTTTTGCCAGTGACAGATAAGTGATCCAGGGTGGCCGGACGGGATCATGAGCAACGGGCCTCCTGCAGCCAAGAGTGGAGGACAGACAGACGTCCACGGGGACCTGGTGTCCAGGAGGACAAGCAGGAGCCATGATGGTGCATGGAGCAGAAAGCGCAACGTTAAGAATATTGAGGGAACATGGAGAGGTATCAGGCTAGTGGAGGGATTCCTAGAACACGAAATGCCTGAAGACCCATCTGATCCAGGAATATCAGCACTGGCCTGATACAACTCCATGTTGCCTGAATGTTCTTAATGTTTTAATGTTAAGGTTCTCACTTTGTTTGGAAGATATTGTGTAGCTCCTGCTCAGTATTACTTACACTGGTGCCTGGACATTCATCACAAGCCTAGCCACACACAACTCATGTTTGTAATGTGCTTCAGTCACCTCGTAACCTCAGGGTAGGGTGACCAGATAATCCATGTCAGGGAGACACTTTGAGCTACTTCAGGTTTTACAAACAACTTTCAAATTGAAAGGCTCCTGTGCTCGGCTAAAGAGTTCAGCTCTTCTTGTGCTTTACCTGGTTTGTTTCCTTGACTGAAAGCCTCATCCAGCTGTTTCACATTAGCATTAGTGACACATGCATGATTATAGGACACTGACCAATCAGCACACAGCAAGAACTCAGTGCTCAAGTGAAATCCAGGTCCGTTTAATTGACATGGTAATTTACAATTCCTGTCCTAGCTCAGAGTGTCCTCCCTGACATGGAGTATCTGGTCACCCTACCTCAGGGTAACCGTGGACAGTCTCATGTCCTCTTCCTCTCACATTGCTAATCTTTCCTACTCATGTCGATTCCTCCTCTTCAGCATCAGAAGTGTTCGTCCATTTCTTTCCACACAGGTCACTGAGGTACTTGTTCAATCCCTCGTCATCTCAAAACTAGGCTACTGCAGCTCACCCCTAGCAGATCTGTCTCTGAGCGTCATTCGTCCTCTGCGGCTGATCCAGA